GCTAAAGATGATGATGGTGATGATGATGACGATGTTAAAGATGATGATGATGTTAATGATGATGATGATGTATGATACAATGGTGATGAAGGCGATGATCATGATGTTGATCAATGTTTTTATCATCATTATTAATAATATCATTATCATTATTATTATTATCATCATCATTATTTATTATTATTATTATTATTATTATTATTATTATTATTATTATTATTATTATTATTATTACTATCGTATGAAGAAGAAAAGACATTATATAGATATCAGCATGCGAAAAGGCTTTGCATTTTGTCTTCAGTGAGAGTAAACATTTACTTTGGAGCTCCCATCTTTTCCAGGAAGATAATCTAGTCAAGCCACAATCTAGAAGAGGAGTCGGCGAACAAGTCCTGACATTCAGTCACCACAACAGGCAAAATAGGATAATTGTGTCTGTATATTATCAAAAAAAGYGGACTAAATAAACATTGCCATGCATATGCAATGAGATTTCGGTTAGAGAATGGGACATGCGGACGGAAAGACAAACAGACCGCACTGGCAGACACATCAGTGGGGCTCTGTTTTTCAATGCATGACATATGGGATTTTCGATTCTGGCCGGCATCTCTCAGTAAATAATAAAGCAAACTACCTGACTCTTTGTGTACGTCTCTCTTCAGTTATTATTCCCAAGGCTCTATGAGGCCATTTTCCCTGACACAACTCTCTTGCTCGTTAAACACTATACTTGGAGTGGATTGAAYGCGGTCCATGCTCATCACAAGTTATCGTTTTGCTTGGATACTTAGAAGCATAATAGGCGCTGCCATTGAACGAGTGGTACAAGCTTTCATCGGCAAAGATCTTTGTCCTGGACGAAAAAGGGGGCGACTGGAACGTCGTACCAATGTTTTAAGCTCTTTTCTAAAGTAGGGCATCCTAAAGGTATATATAAATATGTTAACAAATGAATTTCCGTAGAGTACGAAATCTGCAAACATGCATACATGCTTTGGAACTGATGACCGGCACATGGGGCAGAGAAAAGTGTTATAGCCAAGAAGAATGCCCTCTGGTAACCATGTGGCAAAGGAAAAGACTGTCACTATGAACAGGGTTTTGGCAATTTTCTTGTTGCGTTTTGTTGTAAGTCTTTCATCGTTATTTGATAAGAATCGTGTCTTGACCCAAATAATACCATAAGCTGATAAAACTAGAACAAGAAGAATTAAGGACATCACAATCATGAAAACGTTGGTATATTTCAGGTGTTCCACAGGGAACTCTCTTGGGACCACTAATTGTAAAAGAACAACAGTAGATGAGATAACCAGGGAAAGTGCCACAGAGCCCCAAATAACTGTAAAATAGTGTCTCTGTTTTGCCAATCGATGCTTGATGGGGAATACGATGGCAAACGCACGTTCAAATGCTATTGCTGTGAGCAGAACGATAGAGGAAAATGTTGAGAATACCGTGCAAATGGAATAAACATTAACGATGACATAGGATGGATTTCTGTACCCATCGCTGTACAGCATCAAAGGCAAAGCTGCAAAAGCCGTTGAAAGACCGACAAATAAGTCCGCAATCGTCAAACTTATCAATAAATATGTAGACTTGTTCACTCTTGACCTCTTCTTGGTAAAAATCGACAACGCAATTGAATTGCCAATAACGATGAAAACTGATTCAATCAGGAAAAAAGAGGACCATAATACTCGTTCTTGTACACTCAGTCTCAGCGCTCTTGCAACACTAGTACTGTTGTTCAACATGACAGATATATATCTAAGGCTAATACTTGACTAATTTCATCCGCAATGCACGGCTGTTGATCGTGCCGGTGAGATCGCCGAACACATCGAAATCAAAGTCTGCATCGGAACTGCTTACAATAGCTGATGATAATGTTTATTGTATTCTATTGATTTAGGAGCATCCAAAGGATCTTCTAATTTCCAGAATGTAAATAGAGTCATTTAAGTTTACATTATATATGTAATGTCAAATTTTCGATGAAAAAAAAACTTTATTTGAGAAAGCTAGCTTTCTAAGATAGGGAGTAGTTCTGAACGCCCGGCAACTTTGTTTTTGTATAACTAATTAGTGATTTATAAACTTACCACCAAAATTAACAAATCATATAAATCTTAATCATTCAATTTGTCCTAGTTCTTGTTCTTGTTTTCTTTTTCAGTGGATGAGTAAATAACAATGAATTAGCGTAGGACTTGGTTGACGCATTTGAATTTTAAATTTTACCATACTAACTTCACACGGTTCCGGTCAGATGTTCCTCCCTCAAATATTTCTTATTGATTTTTTTGTCTTTTTAGTTTTTTTTTCACATCACTGTACAAATTCACTTAAAAAAAACACCACAGCAGCTTTGAAAAATAAATCAGCCAACTAGTGCATAGCTGCTAAAGTGCCCTGAAATCGTCGTCCTTAAACTAATTGAAGTCGTAATCCCCGGGGAAAATATAACAACAAAAAACTGGCCCTTCAGGGATTAGGAGCATAATTTTCATATGGATGGGGGAATAAAATAAAAATTAAGTTGTATTGAAAAAATAGAAAGCGCGTGAATGCGGAGAAAAATATTATCATATATATATTATTTAATAATTTATAATGTACATCTATTCATTTATTTTTATTCTTTTGGAGGGTCGTAAGTTAAAAAACTGTAAAAGGTTATTTCGTTTCCTTCTCGAAATAAAGTTATAGTATTGTATCGTATGACTCATCCTGATATAGCACATAGGGGGATTTAGGGGGAGGGGAGGGGGTGTTACGTAGTATAGGGATAACATAGCATCCATTTTAGATTTTACCTAATCCTTTATTACTTAGCCACCTAAACTACCACCAGGATCCTCGTATTACATTTCATGAAATTATATATAGGCTATAAAGGACATTCATAAAATAGTAAATATTAGTGGCAATGATTCTTAATTGATGGTTTTCACGGCGGCAATGTTGGAGGAACTGAACAAAAGAATTGTCAATGAATTCTTTTGTTATATCCTCCAACATGACCACCGTGTCTTTTGTTATTTAATTCTCTTGGGAATGGTTGAAAACCATCGATAGAGTGARGGCATTTAACCTGTGATAAAAAAAATACTAGTCAACGTGTAAGTACTGTTTAATAAACGAGCAAGAGTGTTTTATCGGGTATAAAACACGAGGCGTAGCCGAGTGGTTTTAGACCCGATAAAACACGATCTGCGAGATTATTAAACGGCTTAGAAAACTCCAGATGTATGTTCTCATATTGTACCGAATTCTTTACGAATTGAACCAAGTTGGATAGAGAAAATCCAAGTTCAAGTTTATGCAAATGAAGACGAATCTTTATCCGATATAAAACCACCTTCATGGTCATGATTTCTATTGTGTTTTCTTCATGAATTATTAATGAGTTTTCTAATAGTCAAATAGACACAAAATAAAACAATGGAATTAGGGGATAAAGTGACCACAGCAAATCCGTGAAACACTAATTACTAAATAGTACAAAATAGTGCTAGTTAAACAATAGAAAACAATGGAATTTGCATGAAATTATGCTATTTAGTATTACTAAAGTTTCACGGATTTACTGTGGTCACTCTACTAAAGTGTGTTAGTCTAATATCTATTTCACGGCTTTAATGACTTCACTCTATACATAATTTCTGCGTACAGATTAACCAGAAGCCCTTTTCGGTTTCAACTTTTATCTCTAATACTCGGACCCCTTTCTGAAGTTATCTTGGCCTGATACGAAGGTAACTGGAAAATATAATAAATAGAGGAATAATAATAAAAGGTACGATTTTTCTCGATTAAATTTGAGGCTTTTTCTTTCATTCCAGTCTCGCGTTCTACATAACTTTCAAAGGGGTCTTACTATTAGCTATCACTGTGATGATCAACACTAACTATATTAGCTATGTTAAAGTTTTTCACTGCGAAGCAATACTTGTTTGCTTGGACTCTAAATTTGAGTTCGGCATACTTTGTGCCTCATCGTATCCAGGCAACGAATCATGGCCGCCAGTCATGTGACAAGTTTGATTGTGGTGATACAGCTGGCTTCGTCTCTTATACCACTTGTTACATAGCGTACAGCTATACGGCCTTTCTCCGGTATGTGTCCTTATATGGGAAGTTAGTTCATTGGTCTGCTTGAACGCCTTGCCACAAATCGTACACGCGAAGGGGCGTTCTCCGGTATGAGTTCTTATATGCACGGTCAAGTGATACTTTTCTTTAAAGGCCTTTTCACAGTAGATACACTTGTAAGGTCGTTCTCCATTGTGATGTTTTATGTGGTATTTGAGGCTTCGTCGTTGCTTGAATGTTTCGTTACACATTGGACAGTTGTAAGGCCTATCGTTGGCATGCATGTTTTGATGTGTGATGTATTCAACTCGTTGTTCAAATGTTTCTGTACAATATTGACACTTAAACCGTCCCCTGTTGTTATTCCCGCCAAGAAATTCACAAGTGGACTTTGAAAAATTCACCTGATTGGGCGCCATATCCACAGGACCTGTTTCGCGAGTTTTCATTTCTGACTCTTCTTCCTTGGAATAGATACTTCCCACGATTGATTCATTGATGGTTTTGGGAGCAGCACTTTCAATTTCAAGAGGCACTAGCTCTGATTCTTGATTGCTAAAATCAGTACCATTCACTTCTGGCTCTACAGAATCGACCCTGTCATGAATGTCATTCTCGGAACCACTATAACTATCGTCATCATTTCCAGCTTCAGAGCTTTTCTTCTGCTCCTCTTCCATTCTTCTTTTTAATAACAAGTCGTAGAAGTTGCTCTCTGCTGTCGACTCGTCTCTTTGTCTCTTGCGCGATAAGAGCACTCTCCTGTCTTCGTCAAGTGTAACATCCTGTACGTTCCCATCACAAGACTCGCCTTGTATTCCAAGTGGTTGAACGTCGGACGCTTCACCATTTGTTAGATTGGAACCCTTCTTCGCAGGAAGGTTGAAGTCTTCACTGTCCAATTTGTCTTCATGGACCCCATTATCTTTACAGGAAGCCGCAAACGTAAACTGCTGTCCTTGCTTGAGATATTTCACAGTTAGTTGATCTTTATCTGAAGAGATCAAAATCCGACAAGGCTCTTGCGATGACTCAGGCATGTGAATCTGAAGAACTCTATTGCTACTCCCAGAATTAGCACAGTGGACTTGAGAATTCTGAACGCCTTGAGAAAAACAGCAAGAACTTGAACGACACAAACATGGCGGATCAGAGGTACCACCAAAAGTCAAAGAAAATGGAGGGAAACGATTTGAACGGGAAGACGAATAACATGTTGCTCTGCAATTGCTATTTGAAGTTGTACTCGTAGACTGACACTCGCTCCATTCATTGTTCACATCTTTCATATCTTCCCTTTTATCTTTAAGGGATTTTTCTTGGTCATCTTGAACCTCACGGGATTTATCTTGCTCCTTGCAGTACGTCAGGAGTTGTTCGAATATTTTCTCCAATGTGGGTTTTCTTGCGTTTCCCGATTCTGTAGCATTACTACCGGTAGCATACTTTTCGTTACTTGAAGCGCCGGAAACAGAGGTGTTCATGTTGAAAAACCTAAATCGATGAGAATCTTCAAATCTATAGAGAATCAAAAGAAAAATATAAGAAACACATATTTCTGCGTAAGAGGAGCGAGTTGCACGTTAACATACACTAGGCATGTCAATTAATTATCAAGATCAGCAAAGTACTGACTTAAGTGTCCAAAGAGCACTAGTCATCCATGCAGGGTACCTGCGGCGCCGACTGCGAGTAGTTTAGATCCACATGTCAATGATGAAAATCCATTATACCCCTTACAATTAAATATATCTCAGAGAGAATAAATACAGAAAAGCCGAGCTGAGCACAATTATCAAAGCAAAATTTGTCAATATTTACGCGAACTCGGTAGATGCGCGGAGCTGCTATTTACTCGTTAACTGGTGCGCGCAACTTAGAAATGTCGAATGTACCCGCGACTGCATGTCTATTTCAATCGACGTCTGCGAAAAGACATATTTCAGTGAATAGATCTAGAGTAGCTTGCAACCACCTAGTTCCGGTGTGTATACTAAATTTGTAAAACTTCTATAGAATTAAAGTTGCACTTATAAAATATAGAGAACATTTTTTAGGCGGGTTGGACTCCCGTCCACACGTGTCCGGGGCGTGTGGAAATGTTCGAATACGTAACGAAAAAGTTGCATGTGGATCGACTGAAAAACCATTGCCTGATACGTGTGGACGTGTAACTAGGGAGGTAGAACAATAAATGCGGTTGTATTGAAATTGAAAAACTCATGTTGCCATAAATCGAAAAGATATCTATTCATTTCAGTTTTTGTTACACGTGATTCGATTCACGCAAACTAATGATTTCCGAAGCTACGTTGATCACGTTTCGTAAATGCCACAGAAATATACCATATCTATGGTTTGCTGCTTATCATACGAAAGACATATGGAAATAAAGCACGAAGCCTACGGTTGAAAACCTTTAAAATGATTGGTAGAAAACCATGTGTCACACATGTGTGTATGTAATACATCGACCTGTGACAGACGTGACATCACTCCTACAGCTCCCACTGAAATCTTGAATAAACCGACAAGAACAACGACAAAATTATTCACTCAATAATACTGGTTGAAATAAATCTTGAAATTCTGTCTTTTATATCCATGTTAGTCTACTTCATTCTCGATTTTTTTCTTTCTTTTGATATGTAATCAATCATTAGCCATCGTGCTGAACACCTGGTGTCCAAAGCATCACGTGTCACTGATGTAATGATGACCGCGGACCAACACGTTGCCGATCTGGCTTTGTGTCAACGGTACATCCAAGAATTAAAGCGTTCAGTAGATTAAAATCCAGCTTCGCTATCTAGAATTGTAGGAAATATACCTCGATTTCGTTTCATATTGAATAAATTCACCTTCTTTGTGTGTTTTCAAGACAACGTGTCGTATTGYGTTTGTTATGTGGTCGTATTTCTGGCCGCCTATTTGGATATGACAAAACTGGGTTTGAAAACGACCAGAGCAACGAAAAGCTAGTCTGTCATAAAGAAAATCTATAAAAATTTATTTAGTATAACTAGAAAACCTTCAGAATGATCGTCCAAAAAACTGGGAGAGGAATGACAGTTGACACTTTATAAAGTTGTAAATAAGAAACCCGTACATATCACAACAATATTAATCGTTCGAAAAGGCGTCAATCCTTCAAATGTATCTCGCGTTAAACCTGAAAAAAATACTATTTATTCTAAGCAATTCGACGCATTTTTATAGGAAGGAAATTTCTTTAGGACTTACCTGATAATTGAGAATACGTTGCTGGTTGTACCTAAGGTCTTTGCTTTCCGTTGTTTGATATCAATGCAACATGTAGAGCGATCAAAACAGGCCAACTGTGAACAATGGTGAAGGAATGGGTACGAGTTCTGTATAAGAAACACAGGTAGCCCAAGCTATTTTTTATTTTTTTAGTGGTGATTAAAAATCTACAATGAAATCGTCAAAACATTAAAAAAGCACTGCAACTAATCTTTGATCCTTATGAAATGATACGTCTATACTTGTAGGGGATAAGAATAACGATTTCATGATATTTTGACATTTTTTGGCTTATGTAAGATATAATCTTCAATCTATCCATTCAGAACGAAAGAGAATCATTTAAAAAAAGTTAGACGATATATATTTTTATTCGTTTTATGTTTTGACAATTTTTATTGAAGTTTTTACGAATGTCAAATYCGGGGTCAAATCAAAGGGCATCGCTGAATCATAGCTTGGGCATCCTGTGTTATGAGTCAGCGGTAATCCAAATCCTAAACGAGGCAGAGTACGCATTCAAGATGGCGACTTCAAAGAGTGCAAACACTTACAACAGACAAAACTGGGAAGATTCGGTAAGAAAAATACTCTTCTGATACAAAATAACCTCATAATTACTTGCCTTAATAAAGTATTTTAATGTTGGGTTTGTTTTATGGTGGTTTCGTTATTTGTTCAAACTTTTAGACGTATTTCATTAAGCGAAAAATTAATGCTCCTTGAACAACGTGCAGCGTTACCAGGAACGTTAAGAGAACAGAGAACAGTGGAATAAAATTTAATAAAATCTAAAGCTAGAATATATCTCTATGTTTATCACTAGTTATTCATTGAGTCGCCATTTTTATTTAGAATTCTTATTCTCGAGGCAAGAGTAGTTTAATTTGCTAGTACGTTCAAATTTCGTTTTGCTTTATATTTCTTCAGTAAAACATAGAGTACACCCTGTAGCTTATAATAGAGTGTACTTGTTAGCTTACTGCATCTYTACTAATTCTTTTCACTTATTCTAGGAGTTTCCCATTTTATGTCAAACATGTCTTGGAGATAACCCTTACATTCGGATGGTAAGTTACATGGATGACTTTGGTATATTCAAAAGACTATGACAGTGATTTGATTTATAGATTTGTGTTAAGTTTATAGTATTTTTTAGACACTGTATTTTTTTTATTTAGACCATGGTTGGGTTTTACAGCATAATAYATTTATATCAAAATTAAGAATAACAGCCTGTCACTCACCAGCCATGATGATCAGTCATACCTTGCTTCAACGTTATTGGTCAAAATGACTGGCACAGCAAAGATTTGATCAGACAACTTGCAATTTTGGCCAGACTATATTAGATCAGTAGGCATCGTATATCATATTTARGCCAGGGCCTGGTTGTACGAAGGGTAGATAGCGCAATAAGACAGATAAATCTTATCCATGTTATAAATTTATTGGATAGTTCAGGATCAACTTATCTACTGGATAAGGATTTATCCATTAGATAGTGCTATCCATCCTTGTGCAACTGGGCCCAGGTTGTAATTTGCAGATTTATTTTATTAAGAATATGATCTTTTTTCTTCCCAGACCAGAGAGACACATGGAAGGGAATGCAAGGTAATATTTAATCTTGAATTAAAATTCCAATGTTATCTTCTAAAACCCTGGCGGCTATGATCATATGTTCAGAAATCATAATATTTTTATAAAAGAAAGCTCTACATGTCTAGGGGTTTTCAGACTTGCTGGAGCATGGAAACGCTCTGATGTATCTTGTGTTTTTGTCTACAGATTTGTGCAAGACCTTTCACAATCTTCAGGTGGTGTCCTGGTGCCAAGATGAGGTTTAAGAAGACAGAAGTGTGTCAGACTTGCTCAAAGTTAAAGAATGTGTGTCAGACTTGTTTGCTTGACCTTGATTATGGTGAGAACTGCTACAGAATCTCAAATGAAAATTAGGGTGGCTTGATAAGGGGTTTTCTTGGCAAGCTCAAAGCTGTAACTTTTGAAGTCAAATGTCATATGAACATTAAGGTGGCTTGATAAGAGGTTTTCTCTGCACACTACCTTTTAATATCAACAATTAACAATTCAATGAAAAAGAAAACCCTACTGAGCCACCTTAAACACTTGACTCACATATTTCTTAAAGTTTATTTATGGTAGAAAATGACTTGGAGATTATTTTAACTTTTAAAAAAGTTGCTGTTTTTRAACCAGGGGTCAACACACAAGTCCACAAAGTATTATGTTCATGCATGAATGTAAATGTTGTTATTTTGTTTACTGTACATGTAGGTCTACCAGTGCAAGTTAGAGATAAATCCTTAGGTTTGAAAGATGACATGCCCAAGTCAGATGTTAATAAGGAATATTATACACAAAACATAGAAAATCAGGTAACTACATGTAATATCAAAAATCATCATGCATGAACTCTATAGACCCCTTGCATTACGTCCGATCAAGCTTAATAGAGGTTTTGCACCACCACATGCCAGCATCCATAATACAGCTTGGACTGCCTGTGGTTAGATGGCAGAACAATAGAATCCCTTTTCTCTCTGGGATTGAATTCTTGCTTGTGTAAAACATTTTTATTGTTCATGCCATCTAACATGGCTGCCGTCACGTGATGGTGTAAAACCTCTATTTGGAGGACATAACCATAGGTTTCCAATTCTGATGAGAGCTGTATGTCATAATAAACCCAGTAAATGGCTGCTCATGAGTCTTTACTGTAGCTCCGTGATCAGAGCATCTGACTGTTATCCAGAAGGTCATGGGCTGGATCTCTATCAGGGAATATCAGATTTTTTGATTTTTCAGAGTTGCTTTCAGCTAGAGCCAAAAGATAATAAAAGTAGAACTTGCAAAAACAATAGAAAATAATTTTCTTTTGTTAATTGAGACACACTGTATACCAGTAGTTGATCATATTTTATCTTTTACTCTTTTAACAGCTTGCAGATTCTGATGGAACTACGCCTGGAGGAGCACTGGGTAAAGCTAATGCACCAAGCGATCTCTTAATGAAATTAGCAAGAACCACCCCTTATTACAAGAGAAACAGACCACATATATGTTCATTCTGGGTCAAAGGGGAGTGTAAAAGAGGAGAGGAATGTCCGTATAGGTAGGAATAATTATGGTACACTTACTTTGCTAAACTCTGGGCACCTACAAATACTAACAGAATCGCTTCACCGTTAACCTAGCCAATTGATTGATTGATGCATTTGGAAATTCATTTAACTTAATGTGACCATTCAGAGAGCTCTGAATGGTCATGTGGAGGGCATGTGGTATTCAAACATGATAGAAAACTAATGTCACATGACCTGCAGCTCAAATAAAGAATCATTTTCTCAAGGGAATGACATGATCTGAAATGAGATCAAGCATTGCTCCAAATGTAAAGAGGTAAAAAGTATTCACAACACGTGTTGATTTTTTGGTTGCGGGAGGAAGGCCAGAGAACCCATAGAAAACCCCTTATAGCAAGGATCGAGAATTAACCCGTAACCATACACAAGCATATTAAACTCCATAGTGGTGACAAACTACGTGCATTGATTACACTTTTTACAATAACTTACAAATTTCTTGTGCGCTGATTGGTTATTTTTTATCATCAATAAGAGGACAGACAGATAAAGCTGACGTCAACGAGAACGAGCTCTTTCCGTTGTTTGTTTTGATCAGTAAAAATAAGACACATACAAACAGACACATTAACAAATTGACATCAGATTTTTATGTGTCTGTCCTCTTATTGACAATAAATTGCGTCATCACATTGTCACAGTAGTGTGGATTCACGAGGCGTAGCCGAGTGGATCCGCATACTACTTTGACAATGTGGTGGCGAAATTTATTGTCAATAAGAGGACAGACACATAAAAATCTGATGTCAATTTGTTTTTTACAATAACAAAAACGATAAAAACTTCTCATTTTTAGCGATCAAAACAACCAACGGAAAGAGCRCGCGCTCGTTGGCGTCAGCTTTATCTGTCTGTCCTCTTATTGATGATAAAAAATAACCAATCAGCRCGCGAGGAATTTGTAAGTTATTGTAAAATAAAAAACTGATGTCAAATTTGTTAAATTGATGCTGAAACCCAGAGTTTATTTTAAAATGTGTATTCATTATTTGACAATTTTTACTTTCCAGACATGATATGCCAACAGATCCAAATGACCCACTGGCAGATCAAAACATCAAAGATCGTTACTATGGCATCAATGATCCTGTCGCAAACAAGCTGCTCAAACAGGCTCATAGTATGCCAACACTTGAAACACCAACAGATAGATCTATTACTACTCTTTATGTGGGTGGTCTGGAAGGAAAGGTCAATGAACAGGATTTAAGGTACTGAAATATTTCAAAATTATAAGCTTTTATTATATAATCCCAAAACTCACAGAAATTATTACAATAAAAAAAAAGAGCAYGTTGAGATTATAGTGAAACTGTGAAGTTCAAAGAAAGTAAGTTTAAAAATCGTGATATAAATTTGAAAAAGATTTGAAAAAATTTTGTTGGACGCTAATCTCTCTTAACTCCTTTTGATATGCAAAAACAAAAACAAAAAAAACATTGCTTTGTTCACCTACCCTTACACATGTCTGCCGTGAAACTACAGGTACTCTTTGTTGTATTTTAATTCTTATAATTATATTAGTCTGAGGGTTTGGAAGTTTGGGGGAGGGGTTAATGGATTTGACATAGAGATATATCAACTAACTTTTCCATCCCAGGGTACAAACTATCTAAATTGACAACCACTTAAAAAAAACTAAAGAACCAGGCAATCTTATGTTTAAATATAATGAAATGTTTAGTCCGCTTTGAAGAAATATCTGTACTGGCATATGTTGTGATGTCCATATTATATGCTTGCATTGCAAGTGAAAATCAGGCTTTAATAAGTATATGTAATAGGATATGAGAGAGATATTTTCTAGATCTATGTTATTAAGAAGTACTGTTTGTTTACAGGGATTATTTCTATCAGTTTGGGGAGCTAAGATCAATCACTATGGTTCCAAGACAAAACTGTGCCTTTGTGTGCTTTACCTCTCGTCATTCAGCTGAAACTGCAGCAGAGAGGTCTTTTAACAAGCTCATTCTGAAGGGGAGAAGGCTGAAGATAATGTGGGGTAAAGCCCAAGGACAGCAGCCAACGCCAGGCAGGCAGGGTGGTATACAACTAACTCCAGTGCCTGGATTACCTGGAGGTATGTGTTTGATGAGGGTGGTATATTAGTGGTGTATGCTGCTAATTAATGTGTCGTCTTTCACCGCCGTGAGTCCATTGCTGCAGACGCCACATGTGAATTGAGTTTGTTTGATGTGTTGTTCTCTCCCTTGCCACAAGGATTTTTCTCAGGGTTCTCTGGTTTTCCTCCCATCGTAAAAATCAACATGAGAGTCAAGCGTTGTGTGCATAAAATAATAGTTAATGTAGTGGTAGTACGTGTGAGTGAAAGGGTAGCCAATCGTTTCATTACATGTCAATTTCGTTACAAGTCTGTCATCACATGTGTATGGCCATTTCGACACAGTGTACATGTCTATTATTCGAGTCATAACTTAATATTATTAAGAATTACAGTGAAGTTGCCCGTAACAGCACTACTCTGGGCGTCTTGAGTCCTGGCGACCCAACTCATGGGCAACTTCACTGGATGCCATTATCACAAACAAATAACATGTATTGAGAAAACATCACTGTAATTGCAAAGTAGTAGGTAGAATAATAAATTTGGGATMTTTTTCCTTAAATAGTGAATTGTTAAGTTTACATAAAATATTGCTCATTGTGATAATTTTTTAAATATTGCAGCTCTTCCTCCACCACCAAAAGAAGTCAATGACCACCACCAAGGCAACAACTTCTTCAACCTAGAAAAACCATCCACATCAGGCCCTCCAACCATCCCACCTCCTCCTCCATCAGCCATACCTCCACCACCGTCACAAAGAAACCCACCACCCAACCTCCCACCACCACCCCCCGGACCAGGACAACGAATGCCCCCTCCCCCTATGAGAATGCCTGGTGGGCCACCTCCCCCTGGATTTATACGGCCACCACCTCCATTTGGACCCCCACCTCCGTTTGGCCCTCCTCCACCATTCTATGGGGCTCCACCACCCCCTGGAGGAATGCCACCACCAAGACCTGGACCACCTCCTGTTCATTATCCATCTCAGGATCCTCAGAGATTAGGAGCTTCAAAGGGCTCACAGCAAGAGGAACCTCCTAAGTCTTCATCTGCCAGCACTTGAAGAATTATGTTCCCACATGGGCCTACTTTAAATCTTTTATCTAAGGATAAATCTGCTGTTCATTATCCATCTCGGGAATCTCAGAGATTAGGAGCTTTAAATTCTGGATTCACAGCAAGAGAAGCCTACTCTTTATAACATTTGCCAGGTCTTTCAATCTATTCAGCTGAGAGTAAACTTATTGAAATATACATTTACAGACTTGTAAATACATCGAGGTATCTTGTATCTGTAATCATGCCATAGATAGCAGTTCAGAGATAAATTGAGAAAATACATGTAAAAGTTGCTGAAGAGTAGGTYGTACTTAATGTTATCAGGGAGAAATGACTGTAAAATGCTGTTATAAACATTCATAATTCAATTGTAATCCCCAGTACATACACTGTACTTACTTTATCAATAGAATTTTTTAATAATATTTTATCAGAGTGAAACTGATGTCAAATAGTTAGACACAACTTCAATGATGTACGAAAGCTTGATAAAATAAATAAGTCATGSGCAGTTCCCTTGTGATAGCCTAGGTAGCTGCATTCCTCCACCGCTACATACATGTATGCATCAATTTTTACAGAATGCCAAGCAATGCAAGCTACCCTTAGGGTGACTTGATATATTGAATGCTGCTTTCAACAACTTATTTTTTAATGATGCATATCAAAATCACTAACATAATTATTGAACTTGTCTCATTCCAATGGTTGTTGATAACATAAGTTTTTCCCCCAGATACATACACGTAATTAGATCTAGGCTTTGTTGCTAATGTTGACTTATTTAAGTTTTATTCAAGTGATTGGTTTTTTCATGTAGTCCCGGTTAGTGTCTGCACAGGAACTATCTGCATTTAACAGACCTGGAGTGGAAACACTAAATCCATAAAAAAAGTAATAAATTGCTCACTATTTAGTACTAAATTGCACTAATGAAACTTGAGAAAAACGTTGTAAGAAATTGGACAAATAGTAAGGTCAGTAGACCATAGACCTACAAAACGTTGAACTAATTTGTAGAATTTTAGCTAACTCATTCGCGGATATATGGTAGGCACTGTATAGGAAACAGTAGCCATTGCACTACTTAGTGCAAAATGAATCTTGTACTGTTTCACAGATGGAGTGTTTGTATACTGGAATTGAATACTAAAACAATGGGGGGGGGGGATACTATTTTTCATCAAATAGACATTTATTCATAGTGTCTTGAATGAATTTATGTACACAGTAATAATTGTAAGCATTGGATGTTACATGTAATCTATTCTKTATATTGCAGCAGAGGGAGATTGATTCGGTCATCATTTATGATAGTCCTTGTGAGCTGATTTTCTTAGAAGAATTATTCTCATGAAAACAGGCTCTTCCTACCACCTGAAAGGTCATATTTTGATCAACATATCTGGATGTTATTAATAGTTTACTATGATGTTTTATAGAGTTAAGCATTGGATTTTGGCTCCTTCAGGTACCAGAGATTTTACATATTAATTGAATGCAACAATGAAAGAACACAACTCCATGGTGTAGGCAATCAACCTAGTTCAATCATAATGGATATTATTGAGCGTAGTTCCAGAAAATATCCATACCTCCACCAAGGAGAGAATTTGGAAATGGACCCCCCTATCCCCAGGAGCTTCCAATTTTCATCCATACAAATTTTTGCAATTTTGTTCTTTCTCTGATCCCCCTCCCCTGCAGAATTCCCATTTCCCTCCATGGGTGGCATATGGATATTTTCTGAACTATACATTATGTACTCAATATTTGAAATAAGGCTAGTCACCAAAAATCTATACTAGTTGAGACTACTGAGGATCATAGTAACCACTTCATAGCAAACAAGCATAGCTTTTAGATACAAAATTCAGCTTGGAACTTCAGTTTTTGGTTATTTACACACATTAAATATTGAATTATTTACTGAAGGGGAAGTGATTATTGATGAATACAGTAGTTACCAAGCTGTGAGTCTTCAAGTTGCGAGTTAAATATTCACCATATTCTGAGCCCAAAAGGGAATAGTTTTAGTATCATAATACTTAGTGGTGATCATTTGAAAGTTTATTTCTAAAATTAAAATTTATTTCATATTTTGAAACAATACCAGCCCATCAACAAATGGAATGCATGCCATCCCATATTCACCTGTGTAGGTGATTATCGAGAAATAACCTGAAGTTCTCGACCAATCAGTGTGCACAGTTTTCTATAATCACCTGGGTAATGATAATGATGGGTAATGGCATTTGATAGTTTTTTCTTGTTCTCTCTATTTCATTACACACACCGAACGCATAATTGATTACTACTATACTATGGGCAATGATATACTAAGTAACATTAACTATAGAGTAAAAAATACATAATGATAGAATTCATTGATCATAATAAATTAAGAATGAATAAAAGTTTAAAAAAATTTGGGTGGCCGCTGGAGCAGTTAGAATGCTATAACTCCCTGCTGTTACTATTAATATATAGCTCTTATTAACCGAGTGCGAGGTCCGTACCGTAAGTTATGGACCGAGTTTTTTCCACTGCCTTATGGCCCAAGCGCGTAGCGCGCGGGCCATAAAAAAGTGGAAAAAACGAGG